TCCCCCCCCGACCCCCCAAACCCCGACACTCACTCGCCAGCCCGGGGACCAGCCCCGAATCCACGGATTCTGCCATCTCGGGCATCAGCTCCGGCGCCTCCAGCGTCTCCAGTGTCCCCGACCCCTCCGCCAGCGACTGCAGGAGCTCCTCCATGTCCAGGCTCTCGGGCAGTGGCTCCACGTCCCTCAGCTCCAGTGGCAGCGTCCCCTGCCCCTCGGGGACCAGCAGTGGCTCCCCTGCCCCCGGCTGCACCATCCCCACGTCCCCTGCCACTGGCTGCACCATCCCCACGTCCCCTGCCCCCGGCTGCACCATCCCCAGCCCCTCGGGCAGCACGTGCAGCGTCCCCACGCCCCCCGATCCCACCTGCACCGTCCCCTGTCCCTCGGGGACCAGCTGCAGCACCACCTGTGCCTGCAGGTCCCCAATCCTTGGCTGCAGCAGCTCCGAGACCCCCGATCCCACCTGCAGCGGCCGGGACGGCTCCGAGCCTTGGGACCCCGCCTGCAGCGTCCCCGGGTTCATGGCCACCACCTGCAGCGTCCCGGGGCTCGTGGGCTGCAGCGTCCCCGGGCTCGTGGCCTGCAGGGTCCCTGGGCTCGTGGCCATCACTTGCTGCGTCCCCAGGTTCCCAGGTGGGTCCTGCTGTGTCCCCGGGCCACCACGGGGCTGCAGCTGCAGCGTCTCCAGGTTTTCGGTAGCAGCCACCAAGTCCTCTTCGGTCTGCCAGGACTCATTTGCCTGCCTGCAGGGAGAGATGGTGGGTCAGGGTCAGGATCAGGATCAGGGTCAGGGTTCAGGGTCTGGGGTTTGGGGTCACAAAGCTGCAGGCAAGAGGGTCCCCCTTCCCACAGGACCATGGAGGGACCATGGAGGGACCAAGGAGGGACCATGGAGGGACCGAGGTGTCCCCCCACCTCACCTGGAGGACACGCGGATGAGGCGCCGGTTCAGGTATTTCTTCTGCTCCAGCAGGTTCCCTGGGGACAGAGAGGTGAGAGGGGGTGGTTGGGTGCTCCCCCCCAGCCCCACACCGCCCCACACCGCCCCACACCGCCCCACACTGCCCCACACTGCCCCACACTGCCCCACGCCGCCCCACGCC